TATGCCCAAATTGATTGTAGAGCTGTGACTTTATAAGAGCTGGATTATCAAGGTTAGGACAAGAGGAAGCATTGTTGAGAGTATAAAGAAAGACACAGACACTCAAAAAACAAGTCTTTAACTTCAGTGTTGGTCGTGAACCTGAGCTGGAAAACATCCCTAAAAAAACAGCAGTGAAGGCACGATGTTACAACACATTCAGTGAGCTGGAGATAACAGAATACAGAACATTTAAAGGTCGGCTTCACATATATATATTTTTTGATAAAGCCTATAGTCAGGCTTACCTTGAACTAGCTCCCAGTTAAGCTGCAATGACCAAAGACCAAAGCTTATAGTTAGGGCGGGTTCAGGCTTACCTTGAACCAGCAACTAGTTATCCTGCTAAATGCTTACGATTGTACTTTTTGATAAAGCTTAGGGTTAGCTAAGGCTTGCGTTGAACCGTCCCCTTATTATCCTACTATAGGTTTAAGACTTTCCTAGTTTGATAAAGCTTATAGCTAGGGCTGGCTCAGGCTTAACTTGAACCAGCCCCAAGTTAAGCTGCTACGGACTTTAATTATGTTAGGCTTATAGTTAGGACTAGCTTTGACCTGCTATGAACCAGCCTTAGTTTTTCTGCTACTACTATAGGGTTAAGAATTTCCTTTTTGATAAAGCTAATGGTTAGGGCTGGTTCAGGATTATGCTTAAACCAGTCCCTAGCAGTGGCGAGCCGTCTCTCTGAGGGCCTAAGATATTTAAAAACATTAAAATATATTTTTCAATATATATTTTTAATTAGTTTTATTTTTCATTAGTTTTACCAAAATAACTTGATTTAATTGTATTTAAAATAACATTTCCAAATAAATAAATCCTTCGAATCTCCCTATTCAGTTTCTGTTTGAATGTGAAGGGTTAAATGAAAGAAGCTCGTCTCTGCGAGGTGAAGCTAGGAGCTGATTGGTGGTCCCGCTGTGAATTCACAGAGGGCCCAGCTACAGTAACTGAACGAGAGAGTAATATCAAGTGACAGTACAATTGACCAATCATGTTCCCTCTAAATGGGTGGGTTTTATTATCGCGGACTTTATGACAAGTTCTGCCCGCTGTGAAGCCTTTCTTGTTTCCATAGCAACAACACAATGCAATATCCTTTTCAATTTCAAAGAACACAAATAGGGTTATTCACAGGTGTTGTTTTCTGTGGTAGAGGGTCGCTGTCATTGATGCGTTTTGCACCCCGGGCCGTTGTTTTGATATTCCGCTGAAGTATACGCTGTGACGTAATAACTCTTTCTTTTTTTTTTTCGAGGGAAGGGGTGGGGGTCAGAGGGCCTAGATATAAAAGTCAAGGCTCGCCACTGGTCCCTAGTAGTGTTAATTTCGTCAGCTATTTTTTACTTAGTTTTAGTCTTAGTCCTGCTTTAAATTTCCTTTTTAGTTTTAGTCATATTTAATCACCTTCATCCTGTTTTTATTTAGTCAAGTTTTAGTCGACTAAAAGTCTGAGCATTTTAGTCTTATTTTAATCAAAGAAAACTAATTATTTTAGTCTACTTTTTTTCAATGAAAACGGTTGAGTCTTTTTTAGTCATTAGATTATATAGAACATTTCAGTCAAACTAGTCTAGCCAAAACCAATAATTTGT